TGTATCCTTTCACCATACCTATTCAATCTGTATGTTGAGCAAACAATCTGAGAAGCTGGACTGTATGAAGAAGAATAGGGCATCAGGATTGGAGGAAGACTCATTAACAACCTGCAATATACAGATGATGCAACCTTGCTTGCTGAAAGTGAAGAGGACTTGAAATACTTACTGATGAAAATCAAAGACTGCAACCTTCAATATGGATTACATTTCAACATGAAGAAATCAAAAATCCTCACAACTGGACCAGTGGGCAGCATCAAGATGAGCGGAGAGAGGGTTGAGGTTGTCGAGGATATCATTTTGCTTGGATCCATGGGCAACACCCATGGAAGCAGCAGTCAAGGAATCAAAAGACACATTGCTTTGGGCAAATCTGCTGCAAAAAACTTCTTTGACGTGTTAAAAAGCAAAGATGTCACTTTAAGGACTAAGGTGTGCCTGAACCAAGCCATGGTGTTTTCAGTGACCTAACATACATGCGAAAACTGGACAACAAATAAGGACGACTGAAGAATTGATGCCTTTGAATTATGGTGTTGGCAAAGAATGTTGAATATACCATGGACTGCCAAAAGAATGAATAAATCTATCTTGGAAGAAGTACAGCCAGAATGTTTCTTAGAAGCGAGGATGGTGGGACTTCGTCTCAAGTATTTTGGACATGTAATCAGGAGGGACCAGTCCGTGGAGAAGGACATCATGCTTGGTAAAGTAGAGGGTCAGCGAAAAAGAGGAAGACCCTTAACGAAATGGATTGACACAGTGGCTACAACAGTGGGGCTCAAGCATAGCAATGATTGTGAGGGTAGCACAGGACCAGGCAGTGTTTCGTTCTGTTGTACATGGAGTTGCTATGAGTCGGAACCAACTGGATGGCACCTAACAACAAAAACATGTAGTCCTTGGCACAATGCCTAGCACATGTGAAGTAGATAACAAATGGTAACTCTTTTAGCTACTAGAGTTGGAATTCACTTGAGGGAAACTGGTTTTATCCCTATTACTACACTTGACATCTTGCCACCATCTTTGCTACTACTCCTACAAATAATACTTCAAACATCACTACCTCTAAGTGCCTATGCTTAGCTAGCTTTGAGGGATATAAGCACGGCCTTCCAGAGGCCCCTAAAAACCTCAGTCAAAATTAGCTCATCATTTGGCACACCTCTGATAGTTTATTCATAACGCTCTAATGTTTTCCTGGAGTTTTGGCCCTGGGGGGCTGGAGCCCTGTGTTAGTCACCCCAGGCTGAGGGACTTACACAGTTTCTTGACATTCACACAACAGCACAGAAAGAAGGGAAACCTGGCAGGGATAGCAACCTAGTTTACTTCCTACCTGCTGCTGCCTTTGCAGTCTAGCTCGGAAAACCACAGGAAACCACTTTAACTGTGCCATCCATGCCTTAAGGCTAGGCCCTGACAGGAAGGCTGACAGACAGGGTCCTTGGAGGAGGAGATTCTACCACTGCCTCAGGGGCTTAAAGGAAAACACTCTGAGAAAGGGAAAGATCCTCTGAGATCCTCTGTTCTTGACCTACACTCCATCACCCAGTTCCAGCTCGCCTTCTTTCTCTTTCCTCTCCCCAGCAGCGGGAGCTGTTTTCTACCGCTCTCTGGCTGACTCAAATGGGTCAAGGCTCCCCAGTTTAGTTACAGAAAGTGGCCACAGTCCTGTTTTAGGGTAGCCACTGTATTTTTAAGCAAATAGCTCGCTTCTTCTAAGTTTGTTTGCCAACTGCGTCCTCCCCCGACAAGATATTTTCATAAGCTCGCTATGCTAATTTTTTTTTTTTTTTTACAGCAGCATGTAAAAAAAAATTGGCATAGAGGTGCTTACGAAAATACGGTACTGATAGCTATTTTTGAAATAATTTCTTAACATTCCATCCCACCGATACTTCTTGTTCCAAAACTAGGTAGTTTCAGGAAATCAGCAGAACAGCCCACCCTGAACCCAGAAGTGAAACTCAGGGTTTCCTGTTCCCAGGCCACCTTGGCTTTGAGGTATTTCCCCAGGGAATGTGGAGGGAGATGTTTTCTACAGGGAGAGAAGAACTATTGTCCCAGCTCCCAAGACTGTTCCGTGGCCTGACCCCCTAAGATAGGCCAGATAACCTGACCCAGGAAAGAACGCTCCACTGGAGGAAATGCCAGATGCCTGAAAAGGTTCTCACTGTTGAAAAGTCAGTTTGAAGGTCAACACAACACAGGCCCTTCCCCATACAGACATTCCAGACAATATCCCTGCTGGGTGGTCAAGTAGCCTCTGTGTGGTCATTTCCACTACCTCCCTGGGGTCTATTCCATTGCTCAGCAGCTGTGATCCTTAGAGTGACTCCCTGGAACTTTTTTCCTGGATCCATATCTTGGAAGACCCTCATCATCTGCTTCCCACTCCAAGTCTTCTCTTCTCTGGCATGAACACTCTGGCTCCTTAATGACTAGATAGTAGGGAGATGGTCTCCTGGGAGGAAACCTGGGCATCTTGGTGAGCCCTCTCCATATAAAGTCAGGCATTTTCCTGCTCCCTAATGATAAACAAGAAGGAGGCAGCACTGGAAAAATAAAGCTAGGTGATCTCTGGAGGGGATCACTCTCCAGGTCTCTAATTAGGGAGCACAGATAAGCTCCAAATTAGACCACTCCAGCTTGCAAGGGCAGCATATTCAGCCCCGTATCAGAAAGGCTTTGTTGCTGCAAAGGGCTTAGAGATCTCTGTTCCACAAGTTGCCCACGGCCCCCGGCCCTTCAGCAGGAAGACATGAGATAGTGAAGAGACGCCCTTTCTGGTGTCCAGGGCTGGACGAGGATAAAAGGAGGCAGCCCAGGGTGCCCCGTAGTCTGTTCTTTGCTCCATTGTTGGCTGGCTTCCTCTAGCTCTGTCTACTCCATCTGTCCCACCATGAGTCAACAACTGAACATCAAGTCTGGTGGTGACAAGGGAAACTTCAGTGGGTGCTCAGCAGTGGTGCCGAGGAAGGTCGTGGGCAGTGTGACTTCTTATCAGGCAGCTGGCGAAGGGGCTGGAGCTGGCTTTGGCAGTCGGAGCCTCTACAGTCTGGGAGGGAATCGGTGTATTTCCTTCAATGTGGTAGATGGTGGTGTTCGAACTGGAGGCTATGGCTTTGGGCATAGCTCTGGGCATGGAGGGGGCCGAGCCAGTGGCTTTGCTGGCAGCATCTTTGGCAGTGTGGCCCAGGGACTTGTGTGCCCACCTATGTGCCTACCTGGGGGCATACACCAAGTCACTGTCAACAAGAGCCTCTTGGCCCTCCTCAACATGGAGCTGGACCCTGAGATCCAGAAAGTACGCACCCAGGAGCGGGAGCAGAGCAAGGCGCTGAACGACAGGTTTGCCTCCTTCATCGACAAGGTGGGTCTCAGGAGGAGAAGGCAGTCCAGGAAGATATGAGCAAGTTCCCTGCTGCCTGGGAATAGACTGGGAATTGAGCATGGAGAGTTTGCAGCTAGACCTCAGGAAAGACTTCCTGATCATAAGGGAAGACCAGATTTGGAAACTAGATAGAAGAAAGGAATAAACGAATGTGATGCTTTCTTTGGGGATTTGACAGAGCAGTGTGGGAAATTGATTGGGTAAAGGGTAGCCCTATCTTGAGAAAGAAATAGTGTGTTTGTGGAGGACAGCTGGATGGATTCCAGCTCTTTAAAAAACTGAAGGCCTAATGAGAACAGCACTATTCAGAGGGAAGGGATCATGGTACAGGAAGGAAAGCTTAGCTGAGACATAAGACCATCTCCTGAGCCCTGGGTTAGGCAACAGAAGGCAGTTGTGAAATCTCCCTCTTCAGTGAGTTTTCAGTGATTGGTCTTCTAGAAGGCTATGGAATGAGCACTTGTAAAGGGCTTAGTTTTCATGGCATGTTATAGGTGGAGTCAAGACTTGAGCAAAATAACTTTACAAAAATCAGTTTAACCCTGAGAGTCAATGACATACGTCCCTGGGACATAATACCGTTTATTGTGGTTCCAGGTGTCTGTTGTTTTGGGTTCCAGGTGCGGTTCTTGGAATAGCAGAACCAGGTTCTGGAGACCAAGTGGGAGCTGCTGCAGCAACTGGACCTGAATAACTGCAAGAAGAACCTGGAACCCATCTTTGAGGGCTACATGGGCAACCTGCAGAAGCAGCTGGAGACGCTGTCTGGAGACAGGGTGAGGCTGGACTCGAAGCTGAGGAACATGCGGGACGTGGTGGAGGACTACAAGAAGAGGTGAGCAGGTCCCACCAAAGGGTGATGGGTCATGTTCCCAGAGGCTCCTGGGGTCACCTGATCTCTGTGCCATTCTTTAGGAGGGGAGGGAGCAAGTGCCAGGGTCAGGGGCTTCTTACTCCCTTCTCTGGTTTCTGGAGAAGGGTCCGCCTGTTTGATGAGAACTTCCTACATGATTGATAGGAAGGGATTCCTATGCTAATGACCCATGGAATGGTTCAGTTAGCCAGTTTGGGGCACCTGGGTGAGTGGAATGCAATGGAGACAAACCAGGGATATCATATTCCACAAGCCGCCTCTGCAATGCTCACCCTTGGAAAGCTTCCTAGTGATTCTGCATCCTCAGCACTCGCCACTCGTCTGGCCAATGGGAAGAGGAGGTAACTTGGGCCTGGCTGAGGGGACTGAGGCGTCTCTACCTTCTCTCTGCCCACAGATATGAGGTGGAGATTAACAAGCACACGGCAGCTGAGAATGAGTTTGTGGTACTCAAGAAGGTAAGGGAGAGAAAGGCCTGCGGACTCCGGTCTCTCTTGCACTCTCCATCTCAAACAACTCTGCTCAGGACTTCAGCTCATGCCCAAATAAGGGTAGAGTCATAGTGCTGGCCTCCAGCAAATTGGAAAAGAAGGACAAACACCCAGGAAACAGACAGAGATAAAGAGAAGTCTGGTCTGGTGGTCAGGAAACTGGTCCTGCTTGAATCTCCTGTGTGATTTGGGGAAACTCACTCTACCTCTCTGGGCTTTTTTTCTCCAGGTGTTTTCCCAAAGGCTCAGTGAGTCTGAGAAAAAGATTGATATTGAGTAATTTTATTCATTGAGATGCTTCCCTTTGTGGGCAAAAATAGGATAAGCAGGTGGCTTTGGGGGCAGGGCAGGGCAGCTGATGGGATGAGGGTTGTATTGACTGATGGTGTGGGTAACCCCTCGGCAGAACGCAGATGCAGCCTAAGAGGCCAAGGTGGAGCTTCAGGCCAAAGTGGACTCTCTGGAGAAAGACATCAAGTTCCTTAAAGGTCTGTACGATGCGGTGAGGACACTCCTATCCCGCCCCTTCCCCTCGCCCCTTTCCTGCTGAGGTCTCTGGCAGAAGGAAGATGCTAATAGGAGAGATATAGGATAAATGGAACGAAAACTGTTTTGATGGGAAGATGCAATATCCTGCAATTGGAGGCCATGGAAGTGAGAGAGCTTGACCTTCAGAGGCCATATACCGAGGAGAAAAATCCCATCTTGGCCAAAATAGTGGCCTTGTCCATGGGCAGGAAAATGAACAAAAATGACCCCATGAGGTCCTATTAAACCACAGGTTGCTGGATTCTGTGAAATTGTAGGACATACATTCTTGCACCTGACTTACATGCCTCCTTCTGCTGATGGCTTGTATTTGGTGCTTCCTGCTGCTATGACCATTCTCTCTGTGTTTGCTCAGAGAGCTCTCCAGCAGGCCCTCCTTCCCTCCACTTCAGCCCCATAGGTCTGAGTGACTTCTGCCAGAGACCACAGGCCCAGAAGATGAACAGGGAAGAGGAGGGAAGCCAGGGGAGACCTAACTCTATCCTCATCTCTCAACTCAGGAGATCGCCCCGATGCAGACACCAGCCAGTGAGACCTCCGTCATCCTGTCCATGGACAACAATCGGGACCTGGACCTGGACACCATCATCGCTGAAGTCCACGCCCAGTATGAGGAGATCGCCCTGAAGAGCAAGGCTGAGTCTGAGGCCCTGTACCAGAGCAAGGTGAGCACCGGTGTTGCCCCCCACCACTCCCCTAGAGAATGAGAGAGATACCTTTGTAGGCATGCTGAATAAAAGATGGGTTGTTAACCATATCATACCTAATGGTTTAACCATATTCTACCCAAAAAGAATTTTTGGCAGAGACTGTTGTCAAGGAAAAATCACAGAACTTGTCTGGATGGATGTATCCAACAGAGAGTGACAGGCAACCCTCTGATGGAGGAAAGAAGTGAGGGGTTCCCATTATAAAGCAAATGCTTTTACAGGAACTGGGGCTTATGAGATATGGGGTGGAAGGAGCATGACAAATATGGAGGAGAATAGCTGCAGAGTACCTTGTTTGGGGAAAATGGGGTGGAGTAGGGAGTGAGAGAAGAGAAAGCTGTGAGCTCTTTTCTGATGAGCATGGTAAGACTTTGGAGAAGAAGCAGCAGAATTCCAGGAATGTTCTGAGTAATGGAAGTGATGCTTTGGGGTGAAACCCTTCAGGGCTGTCATCCTTTACCTGGACAATAACTAGGGCTTCCACCTGTCCTTGCTGTATGGCTCCTTTTCAAGTTTATTAAATCCCAGCAACAGCAAAGATCATAGGTGTGGTTCATCCTGACTCTGGCCTCCTCTTATTCCTTCTTCCCTGTCCATGCCATGTCATTCCCTCTTCCCTGGAGGACTAGGCAAGATGAGAGGGAACGATTCAAACCAAAGGTCCTGATCCAACAATTCCAGCAATCTTACCTGTAACCCACCACCCCCAAGGGTAGATGTGACCTTTGGCTCCTCTGCCCCTCTGCCCCTGTTAGTGAGAAAGGGCTCCAGGGGAATATAAGTTTCCTGAGCCCAGGGACCTTGCCTATCCTATTCTCTGCTGTATCCCCAGACCCTGGAACAGAACCTAACCTTTAAAAAGTGCCTCTCTAAATGTCTTCAGTGAACAAATGAGTGAATTAAATGAAGGGGAAGGTCAGGGCTCTTCTTGCATTTAGAGAGTGTTTAATAGATGTTGACCAAGTGAACTGTATCTTTCCTTTCTCCAGCCCAGGAAAAACTGCAGACAAGGCAATCAGAAAGGAGGCTAGGCCTAGCAGACAGAGTCCGCTTAGAGAAGAGGGTGGATTTCTTGGTCAGGACCACCACCAAACAGCTGGAAGGATACTCAGGTCCCGGCTCCATCACCTCTTGCTCCAGAGCCACCTACCCTGGTTTGCTGCAGTCGTGGAAGTGTTTGGACAGGACCCTGAAAGGCTCTGGATGTGGCCTTATGCCAACCTTCCCCTACCCTGGCAGGGACGGTTCTTCTCATCACCACCTTCTATCTCTGGGAAACCAGATCCAGGAGCTGCAGCTGGCAGCCAGCTGGCACAGTGACGACCTCAAACACATCAAGAATGAGATGTCAGAGCTGAACCGGCTCACCCAGAGGATCTGGTGTGAGACTGGAAATCTGCAGAAGCAGGTTGGCAGCAACACCACCCAGAGTTCAAGTTCATCCTTGTGATAGAAAAACTAGAGACAAACTTGGGGTTAAAGTGCGATCTCCCCATCCTGGTCTCAGGAGCCCCTCGGCCAGCCACAGTCCCTGTCTTCCCATCGGCCTTGGTTCCCCTGAGATGAGAAGGGGTGCCTACTCAGAACTGGGAGGCGCTTCGAACTTACTTCATCTAATTCCCACATTGTAAAGGTAAGGAAACCAGGGCTGCAGAGGGAAACTGACTTTCCCAGAGTTCTCCAGCTGGTTATTAATACAGCCAGGATCAGAAGCCAGGTTTCCTCTTTCTTTTTCCCTCTCTCAGACTTGTTCTGTGTCCAAGCCTGTCCCCTGTCCTCATGGGGTGTGCCACTCTGAAGTCAGGCTCCATGCTTCCTCCTCTACCAGACATGGAACACACGTGGGCCACGTGGGGCGTGCATCGGGGCCCCTCCGTTACCATGTTAGGTTCCTGCCTCAGAGATGGGGGATGGTCCCAGGCACTGAGTGGGAACAACAGCAGATGAAGTTCTCGTAGCCCACCTCCCCATGTCATGGTACATTTCTATTTGACATGGGTGATCCTGTCTTACCTGAAAGCAGTAAGTCTCCCCATAGTGCTAGCAGGCAGGTGGTTTTAAGAGAGAGGGGGGTCCTTCCTGTGATTGCCTCAAAGAACCAGGTCAATCGTGCTAGTGGTTGAGTTGCCAGACTGAGAGGTCAGAACCCTCTCTTTTCTCTTGCTCCTACAACCCTCCACATCTGGCAGTGTGGGGAACACGGGGACAGCTTTCCAACTCCATATCACCAGTTTTCAGACTCCCCGAGGACCTTTCTTCCTCCTCTGTTAGTACTTGGCATCACAGCACCCCTAGATGTTCATTAGAGTACAGCTTCTGCGGTTGTGGCTGTCATTTCTAGCCTTTAACCCCTATTCGAACACCCTATTCAATGACACACGTGAAGCACAATTCTACTCTGACACACATGGGTTCTCCATGAATTGGAACTGGCTCAAGGACAACTGGTTTAACCTCCTTCCCTAAAGCGAGTCCCCCTTCCCCACTCAGGCCAGATATGAAGGACAGTTAGACAGACTCTCCCTGAAGAGTGGGGGAAGAGTCCAGACACTCTCTCACTCCTGGTGATAACAGGTAGGAAGGGCTCCTGATGGGGAGACATCCTGTAGGCAAGAGTCCAGTCCATCACACGGGGGCCCTTGCTATCTGATCCTTAGAGGGCTCCTGGCTGGGGGTCTCACTCCTACAATTGCCATCTCAGGAGTGATTCTCCTAGACCTGGTATACTCTGAACCTGTAGCCATCAGAGGCCTCCAACCCCAGGTCCTCCATGTCCCCTTTGCAAACATTGCAGCTTCTTCCTGCCCTCCTGAAATGCAACTGCTCCCACATCTTTTCATAATTCCTTTAAATATCTGTCTGCAGTTGAAAATAGAGGAGACCAGGTTCTGGTGCCAACTCTGCAGCTGTTACTTGCTGTCACCTTGGCCCTCAGTTTCTTCATCTGTAAAATGAGGGCCTATGCTACCAGCCTATAAGATCTTGTGCTCTGATGGTATCCCTGTTTATTGCCCTTCAGTGCTCTAACCTGGAGACGGCCATTGCTGACGCTGAGCAGCAGGGGGACAATGCCCTGAAGGACGCCCGGGCCAAACTGGACGAGCTGGAGGCAGCCCTGCACCAAGCCAAGGAGGAGCTGGTCTGGATGCTGCACAAGTACCAGGAGCTCATGAGCCTGAAGTTGGCCCTGGACATGGAATCGCCACTTACTGCAAGCTGTTGGAGGGCGAGGCGTGCAGGTGAGAGGGACGGAGGGGACCACCAAGCTGGCAAGGGAGAAGGGGCTATAGGTGGCTCCTCACCTGGCTAAGGGGCCATTTGGGAGCTGGGAGTGAGCGACAACAGCGCTGGTGACAATATGAGCCAGCGAGGTGATGGTATGACAGTTGAACTCTGTGGCAGCTTCGTGCAAGGGGATGTCAGAGATGAACCATGTAGCCCCAGTTGGCTGTGTGGTGCAGTGGAAAGAACCACTGGGGTCAGTCTGACGTGGGTTTAACAACTGGCCTTGCCACATATTAGTTGTGTGGCCCTGGTAAATCATTTAATGTCTTTGAGTCTCAGTATTAAAATGGGAATTATAATCTCCATCTCCTGGGGTTATTGCAAGGATGAATCAAAATGGTTATACATATAAAAGTAGGCATCCAGTAAGGCTTAGCTGAATGTGACTCTAGACACTTCCCTGAGGTCTTGTTCTCCTTAACCTTGTCTTACAGGATGTCTGGTGAGAACCCATCCCCCGTGAGCGTCTGTGAGTATTGTGGAGAGACGCGCGCTAACTAAGGTTTCTGGCTGGGCAGGAAATCTGGGGACCCTGAGACAAGGAGTCCCAGCTCCCCTCACTATCTCATCCCATACAGAACTTTGTATTACTTCCTGTGAAGGCTCCTCTGGCTTCAAAAGAAACCTATTTCCTTTTAGTCCTGTGGAAACAGTGTCTGTTTCCTCCCCGCCTCTCCCTGGAGCATTGCCACTTAGAGAAAGGGTTGAGAATATGGACTTTGGGGCCAAACAGTCCTAGAATCTCCTGGAAGGCAGAGACCGTATCAGTCCCATATGGCCCTCACCTCACACAAGGTCTGGCACAAAACAGGGTCTTAATTCCTATTTGTTTGCTCATTGACTAGTGAGGGCTGTTGTGAGGATGAAATGGGATGGTGTATGTGGAGATTGACACCCCCCACCTTCCCGGCCCTTCCCTTCCTCCTCAGCTGTCATCAGCAGCAGCAGCGGAAGCAGCTAAGTCTATTACCCCAGCTCCGTGAGTGCCGACCTCGGGGCCAGCAGTGTGGTTGGCGGCACCGACAGAGCCCGAGGTGGGGACACCAAAGCCAAAGGGGCCCGAGTGGGAGACCCCAAGGACTCCCAAGGCAAGGGCACCCCAGTCGGCACTCCAGCCTGGAAAAGCATCCGATAGGTCCGCCAGCCCCACTTGTCTCTCAGCATCTGGAAGAAGAGATAACCTTGCCACCGCTCAAAGATGTCTGCCACACCCAAACCCGCATAACCCTGAGTTCAGGACTGTCTCTAGCACACTCGACTGTCCACATCGTGGCCTGTCTTACTTTCCAGCTCGGATTGACGTCATCACCTCCCTGTTTCATAGGTCCTTTCTGGACTTTCTGACTTCTGGTTTCCTTGCTGCCTTTAGCTGGCAGGAGACTTTGGAGGCCCAAACCATTATTACCTTCTTGGCCCAAAGGAAGCTGTGATCACCCCTAGAAAGGAGGAGAGAGAAAGCCCAAGGAAGGGGAAATGTTTTGTTCTGTGCTTAGGTTGAGGTTCTCAGTTGTCTGAGAGGTTTTACTTTCCCCTCCAGCATGGAGGGGTGAATATACAACCAAGAGAAGTTATGCAGTCTTTTCCTGCCTCCCAGACAGGTCTTTATAGAAAGACTCTATTAATGATTTAGGAGAAGATGTGTACATTCTTGGTCTACCAGCTACACCCAGATTCACAAAGCCAAGTGAACACGAATTGGCAGTTTTCTGCCCCTTTGTGCCACCCACCCATCTCCTTTATTATCAGTCATAGCTACTACCATTTATCAACCTACTATGTGCCAGGCACCCTACATGCATTGCCTCAAATCCATGCCCAGCCCTCCAAGGAAGATGTGATCAGCAGCCTTAGACAGACGAGAAGCCTGCTCATCTGAGAGGCTGTGTAACTGTCCAGTCGCCGCCCCCCTCAAATGCCAGATTCAGGAGGCATGCTCTTTCCATGGCCTGTCGCTGCCTCTCTAACAAAGAGATGTCAAAGTGATGGGTATTTTTGATGATGCCAGCATGGTTATTTTGCCATTTTGTCATCTACAGGCCTGTGGGTCTGTGAATGATCCTCTGTGATCCTCTTTCTGCCGCTGTGTAGCTTCTGCCTCTCAGTTCCTGTTGTCATGAGCTAAGCTCAGTGAGTGGAGCTGCATCTTTTATCTCTGGGTGGTACTGCCCAGCTCTGAAGTCGTGACTTTTGATGTAAATATTCCTAAGAATGGCAACACCTTGTCCCTCCTTTGTTTGAGTTAAGGACCCTGAATTTCTGCTGTATTTTCAATAAACTGCCCTTGAGTAATGTCAGAGATGCACTCCTCTCAGTCTCTCCGAATCGCTTACTCTCTAATGATGATGTGCCCTGTCGTGCCTGCACATCTGCACAAGCCTTATTGGGATACTGGAGGCCCACCCAGAGGAAGGAGGCGCTGGGGGCTGCTCTGCAGGTGATCTCAGGCTGATGGAGAGATGGCACACACTCCAAGCCTTGCATTTCAGGGAAGGGAAGCCTAGTGCAGCAATGCTGAGAAGTGACCGGAATGGACAGGCTAAACAAGGAGGACTTCCTGGAGGAGGAGGAAAGTTTTACCAAATAACCAGAAAGAAGGACACATAGATTCCTAGAAAGAAATTTGAAATGACATCATTATAGTAGGTTTGCAGTCAGGTTTTGTGTGTTTATTTTGGTGAGGAGGTGGGAGGTGTCAGATTTTCTAGAATGAGTAGTGGGGCTGGATGGGATCCCTGGTGGCACAATAGCTAAGTGCTTGGCTGGGCTGCTAACTGAAAGGCTGGCAGTTGGAAGTCATCCAGTGGCTCCCCAGGAGAAAGATCTGACAATCTGCTACCATAAAGACTACCCCATGAAAACCCCATGGGGCATGTCTACTCTGTTACATCGGGTCGCTAGGAGTCGGAATCGACTCCAAGGCACCCAACAACGACAGCAACAAGTCAGCTTTTCAGTCAGTATTGTGTTACAGGTGTGTGGGGTATATGCGCCCCTACAGCCCTCAGGGCAACTGGGGGGGTCCTCGGAGGGCGGGTCCTTGGAGGGCGGGTCCTCCGAGGGCGGGTCCTCAGAGGGCAGGTCCTCAGACCCCAAACAATTTCCTCCATTTACCTCACCACTCCATGCAGGAGGAGCCCTGGTGGTGCAGTGGTTAAACCACTTGCTGTTAACCAAAAGGTTGGCGGTTTGAACCCACCAGCTGCTCAGCAGGAGAAAAATGTGGGAGTCTACTTCTGTAAAGATTTACTGCCTTGGAAACCCTATGGCAGTTCTCCTTTTCCTATGAGTTAGAATCAACTTGACAGCAGTGGGTTTTTTTGGTTGCCATACAGGTATTAAGGATGTCCTCTTCTATGTGTGTCAGGATGCAATAAACCAGGAATCTGGAATTGCAGACTGTTGGGCTTTCTGCCTCAAAGCTTCCCTTTGAGGTCACTGCCGTCATCACTGTGGGTCCTGGGAATAATGCCCTGGGAGTTACAGGGGTTCTGTTCCCACCCTGCCACTCAGACCAGAACCAGTGGTTCTTAACCTGGGGGATCATGGGCCACTCTGAGATTTGATGAAGGCTGTGGATGCTTTCCCTTGAACAGTGTACAGAGTATGTGTGCATGTTCAGAGGCTCACAGACCCCCGGAGCCCATCAATGGACTGCCTGGGACATGGGTCCCAGATTAAGAATCCCAAAAGACAAGCAAATTCCCAATGACCCAGGAAGAGGAGTTGCGGTGAAGAGGTGAGGAATACACGAGCTATTCGTGAAATCACCCCCTCCAAGGCCACCAGGCAGGTGTGCCTCTGACTTCTGGAGGCACCAGCCCTGACGCTGCTGGGCTATGAGGCCTGAGTGCTGAATGCTGGGTGAAGGGCCCCAGAGGCCAAGCAGATGTGCTACTGAGGAGGAGGAGGTAAGGTAGCCTCTGCTGGGGCATTGAGGAGGGCAGAAAGGGCAGCCAAGTGTCCACCCTGCCGTCATCCCACCCTGGCTGCAACATACCTGCTTGAGATATGGAGAGATTCTTTGTCATCTGGGACTTAATTAAGATCCTGAGAAATGCACAGGGGTGACTGTGCTCTTGCTTTATAATTCAGTTTGGAGACTCCTTTGAAGTCCAAGAGGGGAAGTAATGAAGACAGAACTAGAGGTGACTGTTACTTCATTTTCATAGGTCAGACTTCAGGGAATGGTAAAGAAAGGATGAGCGAGTGGCAGGAAGACCCATCTCACTGTGGAGGGCTTTGGAGAGGAGCCCAGGGAGGGAGGGAGCATCACACAGTCAGGGAAGGGAAAGTGTCTGGCTCAGATGCTCTGTGTAGGCCTTCGGTGAAGCTCTGTTTAGGGCCTGAGTCATCTGGCTGGTGATACTTATGCTTGCATGGTCCCTCCACATGGCTTGTCATTCACACCGTTCATGACCTCCTTGAAGATTCCGTTCAGGTACCCACTCTCCCAAAAGCCTTCCTGAGCCCCCAGGCTCAGTGGAGTGCCTGTCTTCTGGGTTCCCGCAGCACCCAGTGCCCACCTCCACCATGGTACTTCTGCATGTAATTGACACGGTCCTTCAGTCAGCCTGGTTCTATCACCACCAGACTGGGGCTCCCCAAGGGCAAGAATAGCCTTATTCCTCTCTGGGCTTAGCAACTGATAGACACTTAAGGGAGGTTCACCTAACAGAAACACTCAGAAGATAATGTCTCTATGATCTTTCTATTCAGCACAAATGTGTTTAAAAGTTGTTTGGGGTAGCAGAGAAGAGGCCAGAGAAACCATGTTCCTGGACTTTGCCCCTAGCCTTTCCCAACATAGGGGGAGTAGCAACCCGGTATAAAGATAGAGAGACTTCTGGGGCCAGCAGGGGGATGATGATAACTTATCTTCCATTCGACTGGCCGAGAGCAAGCTTAGGGCACTTGGGCCTCAGAGGAGATAGCCTTCTGATGGCCAAGAGTTGACTCTCCCTCTGGACATTTCTGTGCTGCCCAGGGTAACCATAGGTATCTCAGCTAAGTAAGTGCTTATTTAACTAACTTCCTGTGTTCCAGACTGGTCATGGAGAGCAATTCATAGCCGTTGGTTTTCTGCCATTGTCCTTGAAAAACGTTTGTTGAATTGAAGTAGTTGAAGCCAGAAAACTGCAACATTCCCTCCACACACACGGGCTGTGGCCTCTGCACAGTGACTTGGATCGGAGTTTTGAATGTCCCTCTCACTGAAGTTCCTCAACCTGCTTTTTACTTTGCCCAACCAGCTAAAGTGGGCACAAAACTCAATTGCTGCTAGAACCTTCTCTCCACCTGGGATTGAACAAAAGATACAAATCTCAGCAATGGCAGATCTACCATCTGGACTGAGAAGTCCTTGAGGGCAGGCCTGTAGCTTCCTCTGTCCCCAGCATGTGGCGAGTGCCTGATACAGAGAGGTTGCTCAGTAAACTTATGAATCACTGAATGCAAAAGAAGATGGCAATCACAATGTCTGTGCACTACCTCCTGGACCCTCATCTCCTCTTTCTCTGCCACTGACCTGTTTTTCTGATCTTTAAAAACATTCCCCCTAGGTTCCTAATTCAGGGTACAAGAGGCTTTAACTGATCATCTGTGTTCATTGGTTGAGCAAGTCTCATTTAAATAGATGCGCTGTTGACCTTGAGAAGTCACTTTGTCCATCCTCCTGACCCTGGGAGGGGAAGTTCCTTCAGGCCCAACTAATGAGAACTATTCCTGCATTCATGGTCATAAGAATGTTGAATGAATGATTGGCCACTAGTTAGGAACCACAGCATTTTCTCTCATGGCTATTATTGAAAAAGAATATATTGAAAATATATGTAAATAGGACAGTCAGCTCTCATTTGTGTGCCACTAATGAAAAAGAGGAAACCTTGGGGGCGTAGTGGTTAAGAGCCATGGCTGCTAAGCAAAAGGTCGGCAGTTCGAATCCACCAGGCACTCCTTGGAAACTCTGTGGGGCAGGTCTACTCTGTCCTGTAGCGTCGCGATGAGTTGGAATCGACTTGACGGCAGCGGGTTTGTTTTTTTGGTTTAATGAAGAAGATTGGTGACATGGACGTCTGAAAGTGACAGCTAATCCAAGGTGAGGCCCATTATCAGGTGAACTGTCATCAGAAGCACATG